ACACACACACACACAAAAACACACACACACACAAACACACACACACACACAAACACACACACACACACACACACACACACAAAAACACACACACACACACACACACAAACAAACACACACAAACAAACACACACACACAAAAACACACATAAAAACACACAAAAACACACACGCACAAAAACACAAACACACACACACAAACAGTTTATATTTAAGCATTCAAACAATATCTCAATACATTATTAATAACGATTAGTAAATTTACATCACAATCCAAGCTCTGTATTTGTATTGCTTACCTTGCTCAGGTGTTAACGTGTCACTTTGCTGTGTGTAAATGAAACTGAAAACACGCACAGTACTCCGTGTGATCTGAATGTTTGCGTGTGTGCCTGCAGATAATATCAGCTCAGTGGAAACCAAACCCATCAAACCCAACCCAGCCTTCTTTACACAAGTTACTGCCATGGCATCAAAACATTACAGCATACTGACTCAGCACTGAGAAACCAAAACACCAACACTTCTGAATTATGATATTTCCCATTGAGCCACTGAATTATTCAAATAATACATAAATAATTAATTAAAATAACTTTTAGCTACAAATAGGTGAGTCAATGTCACAAAATAGCTCACACTTTAGTCCAAAATCAAAAGAAAAGAACAATTACTTTGCATTAAGAAATGCTTATTTTTATTTATATTTCTCGTTGTAATATTATTTCTTGAGTCTTTTTTACTGCACCACTTTTCTACGAATCTACACTGTCAAATCTACACCATGCAAGGCCAGTTTTTATATTTTATGTTTACACTATTCTGTCACCACACATTTACACATACTTTGTTTTTCCTCCTTTTTAAAATCCTGTATGGTATATTTTGTTCACGATTCACCATTCATAATTATGTCAGACTGAACTCTATTTCAGCTCTATCCGTATCTGTGTGACTGAGACACTAGACTACTCTCTCCCTAAAGAGGTATTTTGAGATGTAGACACATGTTTACAGTTTGCATCAGTATTTTTGAATTATAACAACTTCTAATGAAAAGTCTGTCATCATTTACTCAACCCTCATGTTGTTCCAAACCTGTCTTGAGTTTCTTTCTTCTGTTGAACACAAGAGAAGATATTTTGAAGAATGTTGGTAACCAAACACTTGATGGTCCCCATTGACTTCCATAGTATTTTCCCCCATACTATCGAAGTTAATGGGTGCCAGCGACTGACTGGTTGCCAACATTCTTCAAAATATCTTCTCTTGTGTTCAACAGCAGAATTTTTGGGTGAACTATCCCTTTAAATACTAATAGGACCTTTTCTTTACTAAAACAAAAACAGCAATTCTAAAACATTTTAAACATTAAATCTCCTAATCAAGTCATATGCAAAGCATGCTGGGAACTAGAAATCCACTGCTTAATTTTTGAAGTTACTACAACAGAAATGTCAGTTTAAATTACACCCAGTATTAAGATAATATAGTAATCAATTATTCAGTAATTATAATTATGTTAACAGAACCTATCAAAATAAGTACTTCTATTCTATTTCTATTTAGTTCAAAGTTCTATTTACTTTGTGATTATGATAAATTATTACTTTGACTGGAGTAATATTTCATTACAGGGATTTAATCTTAAATGAATGATTTGTTGTGTACTTTTGTTGACATCCAACGTGACCATGCCAAATCCTAAAATGGCATCTTTGATTTAAAATAGCCTTGCGTCTTATTCCAGCGAGCGCTGAAGTGACGTCTCCGAGCAAACACAGCTGTGAGTGACATGAGGCACTTGAAAGTAATGGGTTTGGAAGTCCAAACGGCTCCTTTTCAGTGTCAAAATCAGAGCCACGGGTCACAAGATTTCCATAGTGTTTCCATACACACTGAATTCAAGCGAGTTGCATAATTCACTACAGCTGGACGTCAGACTACATTAAACTGCAAAACAGCTGTAATCACACGCAAGCGATAATATCATTTGATTCAACAAAACTGTGTCAGCCCCTCCATTACAAACGGTCATGAGATGTCTAATTAAACACATACTCATAATAAATGAGCTCCACGTGTGACTTAATGTAAGTCATACGGTGCGACCTCTTGACATGTGACCAGTTTTGGCTGCCGCTCTAATCTAGTAGCTTAAAGAATCTGTGTTGTGTGCCGTGTATCGTCTGCACTCGTCAGTCAGAGATAAGAGATGCTCTACATTTCAAAGTCTTCAAGGTCACAAGATGATTTCTTCCTCGTTTCCTCGCTCCTCTGTCCTTCAGTCCGTGACGAATAAACTGATCTTAAAGGTCCCATATTTTACACCTTTCTGGAGTTTTATTTTAGGTTTTGATGTCCTTAAGAATATATATTTGCGGTATAAGTACCAAAAACCATCTCAATATATTTTTACAGCTCCTTTCTCAGGAGCTCTGCTGAGAACAGGTCGATTTTGGCCTGTCTAATTAATATTCATGAGCCTCTCTTCTGATTGGCCTGTTGTGTTCTACGTGATGCACGGCCAGGCCAACCACAGGTAACTAGGGTCAGACAACGTCACAGCGCTAGCAAATCACAGCTACTTTATGCAGGCTGTGTGCATTTTACTGTGGACTGACTGTTTTGAAACTTATATGGTAGTTACATAGCACCTAGACCTCAGTTATCGTGAAAAAAAACAGGAAATTTCAGTTTTGACAATATGGGACCTTTAAAGGACGCTCTCCCTTCTCTTACTGCACTGAGAGGAAGCTTCCTGAGGCGCTGTAGGAGCATTTGTTGTAGAAAAACTAACCCCGTTCATCTGTCACAATCATTTTAATGCATGTTTTACCTTTGCAGTTCAAATAAACCTTACATTTTACATATACTTCAACAGGGCATCTTGCTTTTTTAACCCTCATGTTGTGCCATTTTGACCCAGAGAGGATTTTTCTTTTTTCCTGAAAATGCTAGTTAATGTTATTGCATTGGACTAAAGCTTGCTGACTTTGATTACACGGGGTATAACAACTTCCCAAAAAAATGGCTTTTTTTTTTTTTTATCAATTAGCACAGTTTTTTTTAAAATTATTTTTGGAACTGACTGTTCATAGGCCTCATTGATCTGAGCTTGCACACCAGTTATTGAGCAAAAAATAAAAATAAATAAAAAATAGCCTAATTTGTGGATAATTCTGGCAATATTCACTCACAAACGGAGGTGCCTAAGCTCAGATCACTACATTTTCAGGACTTTCAGCACAGCACAAGGGTTAATTTTTCTTACGAATTTCCTAAAAAACCAAACCAAGTGATCAAAAGTAGTCCAAAATACGAAGAAATAGTCCTGCAATTCCTCTGTGCTCAGTTTCATTCCTTGTGTACTTTCATCATCTTACTTGGAGACGAGTGTGAAAAGTAAACAAGGATGCACAATTTAAGAAATTAGAGGCAAAAAGCTAAATGTTTCATTCGCCTTTGCTTGTTATAAACGTTTAATTACTGAATGTTTTTCTGCTCAGACAAATTCAATTATGCAACTAAGATTACTCAAATACTTCTGTCATTGTTTCCCTGCTTAGTTAGAAGCAAATCTCAAATGTGACCCTGGAGCACAAAAGCAGTGTTAAGTCGCTGGGGTATATTTGTAGCTATAGCCAACAATACATTGTATGGTTCAAAATTATAGATTTTTCTTTTATGCCAAAAATCATTAGGATATTAAGTAAAGATCATGTTCCATGAAGATATTTTGTAAATTTCCTACCGTAAATATATCAAAACTTAATTTTTGATTAGTAATATGCATTGCTAAGAACTTCATTTGGACAACTTTAAAGATGATTTTCTCAATATTTAGATTTTTTTGCACCCTCAGATTCCAGATTTTCAAATAGTTGTATCTCAGCCAAATATTGTCTGATCCTAACAAACCATACATCAATGGAAAGCTTATTTATTCAGCTTTCAGATGATGTATACATCTCAATTTCGGAAAATTTACCCTTATGCCTGGTTTTGTGCTCCAGGGTCACATGTGTCATATTTCCTCATTTAGAGATCTAACTTTTTCTTCTTTTCTGAAGCACACAAGATGCTCTTTGGAACATTCTCCAATCATGCTGGATCACATTAACATTCTTAAATCCATGTTCATTTTTCAATTAACCTTTTTCTCAAATGTTAGGCTGACGATATGCGTTGTTCTTAAATTTCTGTTATATTAAATAAATGTATAAAAAACATTTTCACGAGTAGTTTCAAGTAGTTTGGACATCCACATGCAGCTTCCATATTTTCACAAAGCCACAGATACAATCACAAACCCGACTATAAATACATCTATCCATGCACAACTTTGTATTTACACTCTGTACACTAAATATTAGCGTGCACAATGCATTACACATGTATTACATGCATATGATTCAATCATAAAGCAGCAGGTTCACTTTGAAACATACCGAACGTGATGAATTAAAATCAGCTAAGAGAGTAAAAAAGCATCAAATTAAGCCTTATGAAGAATCAACATTATAATAGCACTTCACAACTTCTTTACTGTATCATCAACACAAAAAGATGATGCAACTGGCGACCATCACATATAATTTAAAGCTACAGCTCGTTTAAACTCACCTGAAAAAAACCTGGAGATAAACCTCACATACATTGGGGAAAATGAGCTCAAACACGGGGAGAATGTCTTTCTCCCTATAATCTTCCTCTCTCGCTCAGGGGACTGATTTTCGCATGAGAGCCATTACTGGTGCCTCGATGGCGTCATCAGAAGGCGACACGCTTCTCACAGATCTTTAGAACATCCGCGTTCTGAATCTGAACCCGCGCCAAACGGCGCATGATGTTGACATCGCATATACTTACACGCACCATAATAATAATAAAATAATCGTTTTTGTCATGTCGTACTGAATAGAGCTTGGTCGACAAGATAATATTTGCGGTGATTAAAAAAAAAAGAGCTTCACGCTGAATTTATAAAATAAAAGGCAGGCGGTTTCCCGGATGTTGTGGAAAACTAAGGCCTGATTCTTCTACTACACACGTGTAAAACATCTCTGCGCTTTTAGGAGGCTGAAAGTGTGTCTGGATGAACAGAAGTCATGTTTGGCTCATCGAGATCTGGAGGGGTGAGAGGGGGTCAGGACCAGTTCAACTGGGACGATGTGAAAGTGGATAAACACAGAGAGAACTATTTGGGTGAGTATCGAGCTAGCAGCGCTAGCCTCGGCTAGCAACTCTTGTGTGATCCATATGTGAAGCAACCCCCAAATATGCGATTATGTTCATATAAGCACGACTTATTTTGCACTTTACACACTTGAATTAATTAATAACTGCTCACTAGAGCTGAAGTAACTGGTTGTTTGTGCTAATATTTTGTAGTTCACAGGCTGGTAAATCTATTCAGAACGCTTAAGGGAATAGTAATAGTGAGTACTTGTGTAGCTTGATTGCCTATTGCTAATCTATAATGCCAGCATGGCAGTTTGTCCTCTAGGTTGACGTTGTATTAAAGTCTCTTTGTTGAATAAAGTTTTCCTCATCTGTAGTGTAAACGCAGACAATTCTACCTTTTTCCTCGGCGTGGTCTCTCATCACATCGTCTGCTTATTTAATGTGTTGGACGTAGCTGTGTCTTTTGTAGGTGTAGACGTGTTGAACTTTGTAGTTTAGGTACCAGAGGGGCATGAGACGCATACTTTACAAATCCTGCTATGGCGAAGGCTGAGCTTATGAATATTAATGAGGTCTTGCGGGCGTTGCGTGGTAACCGCCTCCAGCGTCCTTCAGGATTCACCCTAGAGCGCGTGCGTAGCTTAATATTGCTGGAGCGCGAGCCAGGTCTATGAATATTTAATGTACCGTGCTGACGTCAGTGAGGCCTACTGGGCAAACGTGACTCAACCTGTTTAATATTTATAAGAAATATCTTTTTTTTTTTTTTTGCCAAGACATTCAACTGAACTTTAATTTTATTTACATAGTTGCTTGCTTATGTTGTCTCTCAGTCAGAAGGTCAGTGGTATATTGATTCTGCACTTCCATGCAGAGTTATTATAGTAAACTAAAACTGAACTAAAGTTAAAACCATTAAAATATATATATTTTTTTACTTTAAATAAAATAATCGTTAACTGAAATAAAATATAAAACGCTTTTCATTTCAAAATGACAAAACACAACAACTAATAGTTTTATAAAACTAATAGATTTTATAAAATAAATCAATTAGGTTTTATAAATTACATATTTTTTATATTAAGCTCTTTATTAAACACTTAAATATAATTTTTTGGAATAATATGTCAATATATGTTTGTAGGACTGTATTATGATATTATTTTCATGACAGTTAAGCAAATTTTCCCCTAAATTCTTATTACCATAATGCAAATAAATATAATTCTCATTACAGGAATGCACATAAATTAAATGCAGTACAACCACTGATCTATAATAGAGAACATAAAATATAAAAAGCTTTTTATTTCAGCTAGTTGCCAAGGCAACATTCCTCATTTTCACACACATCACACACACACACAGTCTGGTCAGCTATCCTTGTGGGGACTCTCCATAGGCGTAATGGTTTTTATACTGTACAGACCGTATATTCTATTGTCCTACACCAACCCTACCCCTAAACCTACCCCTCACAGTAAACTTTCTGCATTTTTAGATTTTCAAAAAACTTCATTCTTCAGACCACAATTTAGGTCCCCACCGAGTCCCCATTTCCTTAAGCTACATATAAATACGATGAAATATGATTTAAACATGTTTATAGCAGGTTGTGTTAGATCTACCCAAGGTTCTGTGTTGATTTTTTCAGGGAATTCCGTCATGGCACCGGTTGGCCGGTGGCAGAAAGGGAAGGATTTGTCATGGTACGCCAAAGATAAGAAGGGCGGCGCATCTCTGTCTAAAGAGCAGGAGATGGCAGCGGTACGGGAGGCAGAGCACGAGGCCATGTTAGCAGCACTGTAAGTGTGATTGATTCATCAGTGAAGTGCAGAAGAATATGAGTAAACCTCTCAATTGTCCCATTTTTTTGTCTATTTTAGGGGTCATAAAACAATCAAGAGACAACCAACTGGTCTTACCAAAGAGGTTTGCATTTGTAAACACTCAAACAAGGACATTTCAATGATTTGTAGCACTTCTCATTGCCGTTTCTGATGCATATGTGTCCTGCTGGCAGGATCTTGCAGATGTGTGCCGGAGGGAAGGGGAGGCGGATGAACGGGACGTGGACAGGGTCTCTGGGCTCGGAAGCTCTAGGTAAAGCTTTCATGACTAGATTACTTGATCTAGACCTCTCTTTACCTGTTCAAGATACAGGAGAGGTGTTCCAAGTATCTTATGTATTAGGCTAATTCATGGTGGAATGTTTAATACTTTAGAAGTTAAACTGTTGAAGATTTTTTTTATCACAATGACAAACATTGCTATTTCAGATTCGGTCCCGCATTTTAATATGGGGTTTCTCTTCCGAAACTTGCATGGTGTACTTCGTAGCATGAATGATGATTATGAATGGGTTATGTACAGAAGGCACAGTTTAAGTGGCATTTGCAACAGAATGACAGGATTTACTGAATTTCAAGTCAAAGAAATTCAACACGGGTAATGCATTCTGGGAAATGTTCTTCCACCCTGATTCACAAATGAAGGTTTTTTAAACCTTTTTTTTTTTTTTTACTTTCAAACAGTGCACTGACAAGCCAACATTCAAAGTTTGTCTTGAGAAAACATAACTTTTCTAGATTCTCAGGCTATGTTTACACGACAACGGTGTAGTCAAAAACTGAAACGTTTTTCCCTTGCATTTTTAAAAAGTTTCACATATACACGACAACGTTTTCAAAACGATTCATGACGTCACTGTTTTCAAAGATTCCCGTATTGTGTGTTTACCAGTGGTGGACAGTAACGGAGTAGTTTTACTTCGTTACTGTATGCGTTTTCAGTCTCCAAAACGCCATTGTCGTGTAAATGCACAGTCAAAATGCATTAAAAGTTTCCCGTTTTTGACTGAAAACGTCGTGTAAACGGCCCCTCAGTTGCACTCAGAACAATAGAAAAACAGATCACATTGGCTTGTGAATGAAAAGCGGAAAATGACTTGGAACATAAAACAGTGCCGCTTACCAAGATTTAACAATATACCAGGAGTACACAAGGTCTTACAATATTGTTAATAAATATTTGAATGAGCAAGTCTATTATTTGTGACTGTATTGTATGTATAAATGCAAAAACTTTTGAAGTGCATATTGAAGTTAGATAAAATAAAATCACTATAGACTGAGAAACAGCACTAGTCTGTACCTAGCTCCTCTAGTATTACATGTTACTGTAGTTTATAAATAGAATATAATAGACATACCACAGATACATTATGAGCTGTTTTTCATGATCAGGGCTGGACCGAGAGGAATGGTGCTTTCCAAGCAAGAAAAAGAAGCAGTAAAAATGGGGTTGCCAGTTTTCACGGTACGTAGACATAAATAATTAGTGTTGATGCTGATTTGATTCTGAGAATGTGTCGTGGTTTGAATATTACAAGCACCGTTAATCACTGATCTTGATTTATTGTCAGCATCACAAAGCTGATAGACCACAAGAAGCCAGTAAGAATCCTGAGGAGGCCAACAAACCTGATAAAGAGGATAAAAGGTACAATATACTGTATATGTGTTTGTGTGGTATAAAAGAATAGATTTAATATCTTTTATGGCCAAACATTACATGTGAAAGATTTTTAAACATGGAATAGAATAAATATGAGAATTCTCGAGTACAAAAACAGATACTGCTTTAAAACAAACAAACACGATATCTAAGTTGAGTGCTGATGTGAATTACAGATCTGACAGAAAAAAGAAGAGTAAAAAGGAGAAGAAAAGTAAGAAGGAGAAAAAGAAGAAGAAAGAGAAAACGAAACACAGAAGCAGAAGTGACTCTTCAGATTCAGACTCCGAAAGCTACAGTAAAAGGTAAACTGTCTATAGTTTTTCCATCCTGTCAACAGACTAAATTAAATACCATTATTATTGTTGTAAGTGATTTATAGAGACTTTGCTTTCCTTCTCTGAGGTATAACACAATTTGTTCACAAGAGGGCATTGTAACACAATTGTATTAGTTTTAGTTCACATCTTTTAGTTAGTTTCCTTTTTCTTATTAGATACTCTTTTTGAAGATAGTGGTTTGGTTTGAAGAAAATGGTTACACTGTGGCTCTATTCAAAAACTTCTAAAGTATTATATTATATTATATTTACCTTAACATTTGCACTCCAAAGCAATTAGCAAAAAAATAGCACACACAAATAATGGGCAAAATAGTCCAGTTTAATTGCTTTTATAATATCAAATAGCTATTCAATTAATTTTCATAAACGATATAACATTTGAAAGATGAAAACCTAAGATTTGATCCGCCTGCCGCTACCAAAACTTCTTCTGGCGCCACCATCTGTAGAATATTTTTGTCTCCAACTAGTGGCTGGTGTGTGCAATTCCACTGAGACTGTCTGAGTGTATATAAGCCTCAGGGATTTTTTTAGAATGGTAAATTGAAATCAATAAACTATGAATAATTTACTGCCTTTGTGTGAATAGTATGTAATCTGTAATCTGATTATGCACATTTTAAAACATATTTTAAAATCTAATTACCGTATTGGCCCGAATATAAGACGACCCTGATTATAAGACGACCCCCCCTTTTTCCAGATGTACCTTTTGGAAAAAGGCTTTATAAAAACCAAATCTTGTTTTTTCTCAGTAAAACACATTTTGTCTTCAATTATTTTCATATTGCATATTTTTCCTATTTTAATTTTTGTTTTGAAAGTATGGTAAAAACTGGTAAAATGTACCAACAATCACATTAAAAAAAATATACACTTTTTGATATACCAAATTTGTGCGCTATTTAAACCCGGTCCAAGAAAAAAATATCGTCTTATATTCGGGACAATACGGTACAAGCACTTAATTTCTAGAATCTGATAACATGAGTTACTATCCAGGACCGGTTAAAGAGCCCTGGTGGATTTGATATGCGCAGTGATTTAATTACATAGCTATATAATTGCATTAAAAGACGAGATTAAGGTTTTAAATATAAAACTTGATTTAACATGTTTAAAAATATGAAAGTAAAATATTTTAAAATATATGAAAATATTTTGTACATTTCCTACTGTAAATACATTAAAACGTAATTTTTATTTAGTAATATGCATTGCTAAGAACTTCACTTGGACAACTTTAAAGATGATTTTCTCAATATTTAGATTTTTTTGCACCCTCAGATTCCAGATTTTCATACAATACAATAGTTGTATCTCGTCCAAATATTGTCCTATCCTGATTTAATCAGCGTTCAGATGATGTAGAAATCTCAATTTAAAAAAATTGACCCTTATGACTGGTTTTGTGGTCCAGGGTCACATATTAACCAACAAGAGAACACATACTATGATCCCATATGTATATTTTGTGTTGTTTTTCAGTTTGCTTGAAATTGTCTTCACGTCACTTAAATTACAGTGACAAACTCACCCCCAGGGAAAAACATCTTTTTCTTTGTAATATAACCATTATGTTTAATGATTAAGCTTGGCAGCTAGCAGATAAAATATATGAACTGAAAACAATAGTTGTTTTGTTCAGAAAACATTTTTTCTTAGCACTTTTCCTGATGTGAAATGTACCCTAAATTAAAGAATGACTTGTATGTTCAGATTATACCTCTGTGACAGTAGATGAGGACAGTGCGTTCCTCATAGTCCATGTCTGACTTATGGTTTGCCCTCAAACGGGACTAAACTTCCCATGCTCGCCAGGAATAAATGATTGTCTAGGTGTGTTTTGTGCTCCCCAGGCGTAGAAAAGATCCCCGGGACCACCATGATCCTAATCCATCAAGGAGCAGTCAGAGTGGAGCCGGAGCCCGTGACAGCCATTCAGGAGGGGGGCCAAGGGCCGAGCACAGGACCCTGACCCCCCCTCACCAGCACCGCCGCCGCCGGCACGACACGGACTCGTCCTCTGACGGACACCGCGCTGGTCGAGGCTCCCCGGCACAAAGCTACCGGCGGCGCCATGATAGCAGTTCAGACGACTGATGCCCCGCTATTGCCCCTTTATCCACACCTTCTCACCCTGAGAATGAATCCGATTGGCCCCTTTGTCAAACTCTGGACAACTTAGGCCACAAGACAGCATATCCAATCTCAGGAAATCTGTCCAAAACATGTCTTGGGTCACATTTCATCAAATTTTGGTTCAAGAAAATGCAGCTTGTTTTAGGCTATTAAAATTGACCATTAAAATTTTTGACATTTTCCCCCAAAATATTAAAGTAAAAATGATTAATACACTATTTGTTGTACTGAATTAGATTTCAATTCTGATTGAAAAAAATTTGGAATGACAAAAACTCAAAGTAATGTATTACAATTAAAATTGTGGGGTAAAATTACAATTAAAATCATGAAAATAAAATCAATGCAAAAAATGTTAATAGTCCTAAATATAGGCTTTGAAATCTTTTTTTTAAATTTTTTTTATTTTGAGGTGAAATGTAACCTGGACGTGTTTTGATCTTTAATGCATAAAGAGAGAACACCGCAGACATGATCATTTTTTATTCTTGTATGTGCTTAATGAAATAAACCATGTTTTTATGACAAGTCGTCGTCGAATTATCAATGCACCTCAAACTTTTTTGAAAAAAAGTTTTTGAAAACGATACCATTATCATCGGTGTAAAGTAAACTATAAAAACGTGAATTTGTGAAAGCGGTGATGTCATGTGCATATTACATGTTTGTGTAGTTTCTTTACAGAGTGACATCGCCACCTACTGGCTCGGCATGCATAATACTGCGTTTTTAGTCGTTTTCGCAGATCTGTGTAAACGGGGATCATTTTGATGAAGTTGTCGTCTGTATGCAAAAAACACAAAGGAACAACCTTTCTAGCACATTGTCATTGCAGCAGACTAATAAGGATTTCTGAGTACATTACATTTATCCTGTAAATGTAGAGTTAAACTTTACCGTCAGACTAATTAGCTTGGTGCGTCCAGCACTCTCATTCTGGACACAAAGTGTGACTGCATTTCCTTTAGTAACTGTACTTTTTAAGGATAAATATTAGTAAATCTGTCCAAAACATGTCTTGAGTGACTTCAAATTTTGGTTAAAGAAAATGAAGCTTGTATTAAAATTAACCATCAAAATTTGTGACATTATTCCCCTCCAAAATACTCAAATAAAATGATTAATAAGTCATTTGTTGTACGACTGTGTTTTAATTTGTGCTAAATCTGATTTAAAAAATCAATCTTTTATTACAGCAATCAAAAAATTTGGAATTACAAAAAAAAAAAACGTATGTATTACGTAGTGGTATGTATTATGTAGTTTTGTAGTAAAATTTGTCATGAAAATATCACAATGCAAAAACTGATAAAAGTCCTAAATATAGGCTTTAAAATCAAATGTCTTTTTTCCTTTTGATTTTAAGGTGAAATGTAACCGAGACATGTCTTGGTCTTCGATGCATGGAGAGAAAACAGTGTAAATATGACCTGATTATAGCAGACGTGATCACTTTTTATTCTTGTGTGTTTAGTGAAATAAACCGTGATTTTACAACGTGGTGTTGTCGAATCACCAATCCACCTCAACACCTCAATCTTTCAAATATTGTTTCCTCAATCGGTTTTGTTCTTATTTTGAGTGCTGTATCCTGACTGTTGGAATGTACTCCTGTCGCTATAATAGAGCGGATTGTTTGCATTTGCATTGAGTTTGCTGTGAAAAGCGACATTCTGTTGGCTGGCACCTGGGGCCGTGTGAGAAAAGAGCAAAGCGCAGACAAAAGACAAGTGCAAAAATCCAGGCCCAGGGATGGCCCGAGCGCCACACACAAACCCCAAGCCACTGGAGCAGCAGGAGTGTGCTGAACAAAAGCCACCCTGTAAGAGAGCCAAGCGAAAGGGAGTGGAGGAGAGCAGCACCCCTCCTTTTCCCACCATCATGCCTTCCCTGCCATGTATTACTGGCTTGGCTGCATTATCCATGGCAGCCTAATCGGACCAAAGGAACGTTGTCCTAGATTGCTTTCCCTCCCCCTCGTTGGGCCGAGCTCCCCGGCGCCTGATTCCAGGCCGATCCTATTTGTCACTTATTAAAGTGTTTCTGCTGAGAAGGCGAGGGAGGTGTTTGGAGAACTGGAGGCCGCTTCAGTGGAGAATTAATGACAGCGGTACACAAGAGAACACCCTCACACCAGGCACACTTACCGCAGATCTCTACCCTCCCATCAACTAAACGCCCAGTCGCTCACCAGAGATACTTCACTTCCATGTTCGACGCGGAAGCAACCAAATACAGGCCCGGTTCAAGAATCAAGCTTCTGAAATGAGTGAGAGTGCTCTAGCCTTAGAGGGTGTTTACATGACACTAGGCGCGTTTCCATTACAGATTTGCGCAAAACTTTGGCGATATTTTATAAATGTCGTTAAAAAGGTATTGCGAAATTATGGCGTTTCCATTAACCAATGTTATGCGACTAAAACAAACTTTTGCCCCTCGCGATAAGTCATGGCAATGGATTTTGGCTATATTTATTCAAAGGAGGCGTATGCGTGTATCTAGGGCTAGACAATAATTCAATATCAATATGTATCGCGATACAATTTTTTTCAAAACACAAGCATTGACTAGAGTTCAGCTTCAGCGGTCGTATCAGAGCCACACTGCACCACAGACGTGTGTAGTGTAAATTGTCTAAGCATTAATGGTAGGAAAAGCCCCTTATACTGGAGAGCGGCCACGTATGAAGCGTTTCTTGGAGGTTATAGTACATTGAAGAATGATCATATGACTTTTTACATACGCCAATACCTGTAAATGCGAAAAAACGTTTCCATTGCAGTTTTGCAAAATATTCCTTTTTCGAATTGCATGAAAAACTACCTCATGCGAGCGTAAAAACTTTTTTGCGATATATGGGAGTTTTTGCGAAATTGACGCGTTTCCATTAGGCGTATTTTCAATTCGCAATTTGAAGGGTAATGGAAACGCAGCTACTGTTTTTTACTAAAAATGGAAAACGTTTTATGCGTTATGGCTGTTCATTTACATGACAACAGCGTTTTAAAAACTGGTTTCAAAGTGCACGTTTTTCAAAACTATACCGTTATTTTCTCAGTGTAAACTACAAAAATGCGAATTTGTGAAAACTGTGATGTCATGCGTATGCGTATTACTATTGTTTCTTTACAAAGTGGCATCGCCAACTACTGGCCCGGCATGCATAATACAGCATTTTAAGTTGTTTTTGTGTATCCTTGTGAATGGATCATTTTGGTAATGTTGTCATCTGTACGTGAAAAACGAAAAGGAAAACTTTTTTTTTAGCACGTTGTGTAAACGTACTCTTAATGCACATCTATTTTGACATATATTTGTGCTATATATATATATATATATACAGTATATTGACATATATATCCTGTCCAATGCTATGGTTATCATGATGTCATTCATCGCAATTTCGAGAGTGATTGGCAGTATGAAAAACAAAACTTTTAATCAAATTCTGACTGGATTATATAGCCTAGAAAGTGCGCAAAGAACGCTCCCTTCATAATCACTAAATAACACACAAAGTAGCTTAATATAAATTTCCTTAATAATCAGTGAAGCTCTGATTGGCCATTGCGTTCAAGAAATTGGCTGTATTGCTCAACGCTGTGCACACATTGTAAATAGAAATCTTCGACGATCTCCATAGCGCAAACACAAATATGCAATAGAGCAGGGGTCACCAAACTTGGTCTCGAAGGGCCGGTGTCCTGCAGAGTTTAGCTCCAACTTGCCTCAACACACCTGCCTGAAAGTTTCTAGTATAGCTAGCAAGAGCTTGATTAGTTTCAGGTGTGTTTGATTAGGGTTGGAGCTAAACTCAGCAGGACACCGGCCCTCCGGGACCGAGTTTGGTGACCCCTACAATAGTGTGTTAACCTTCTAGACTAGAGGCTGCAGTACATAAATTCGGAATTAATGTTTTGTGAATTTATAGGGCAAGACTGGGTAAGAGTTCCCCCTTTTAATTTATTTCATAGATTGCTCAAAATCTCAACATGTATGATAGCCATTTCATCTGAATAGCATCATTTGTAAGATTTAGTCAGCTGAAACCATTTTGAGGTTAACTGATCTAATTTTGTTTATCTGTAAAATACTGATACATGGCATTGTATTATATTATGAATAGTTAAGTTGTATTGTCTTTTTTTGTTTGTTTTTAGATTTGTAGAATTTATAGTTTGTATTTTTAGGGGGAAAGGTGAAATTAGACCCTTGGCGTAAGATGGGCCACCAGAATTGGCACAAAGACCAGAGTGACATGTTACTAGTATTACTAGTTTTTTTTTTTTTTTTTTTTTTAAATACTTACTGTAATTCATGTGTTATTATTCAGTAATACCATGATTTAGATGTACATTTCAGACATTTTCTATAGACTTTTCTATAGTGAAATCATTCCATTTGAATTCCTAGTTAAAATATAGGCAATTACATGCTATGTAAACATTCATATGCCTGTGAAGAATAGTCATAGAAAGACATGTCTGTGATTGGCTACATTGCTCAACGCTGTAAAAACATGTTGTAAATGGAAAACCTTTGACGTTCATCAGAGAGCAAACACGATACTCACGAGAAAGCACTGAAAGCAGCAAGTTGGTACCTGGAGACTACTATACAGAAAGGATGGTATCGTCACACTTCCAAGTAAATAAACTGGATTTTCTGGAAAGAAAAAAAAACTGTGAAAATGAAAAAAAACAAACACATTTTTAAGCCACTAGTAACTGTAATTGATGACAAATTTTACATTATGCAATTTTGTTGTGGTACAGAATTGTTCATATTTTCTCAGTTTATTGTAAAACTAGCTACAAAGCTGTTTACATATGTCTTTCTCTATGGTGATCACAGGAAAAACAAAAAATCAAATGTCATGTTGCAGGCTTTTTTTGAATAATGCAATGTGTGTGTGTATGTTTTTTTTGTCTGAAGAGTGTAAAAGTGATAAAACTATTCCAACTAAACTACACAACACTACACACAAAAGCAAGTTTCAGAAGGTACTTTCTGGAAAGAAAAAAAAACTGTGAAAATGAAAAAGAAAAAAAACAAACAAACATATTTTTAAGCCACTAGTAACTGTAATTGATGACAAATTTTACATTATGCAATTTTGTTGTGGTACAGAATTGTTCATATTTTCTCAGTTTATTGTAAAACTAGCTACAAAGCTGTTTACATATGTCTTTCTCTATGGTGATCACAGGAAAAACAAAAAATCAAATGTCATGTTGCAGGCTTTTTTTGAATAATGCAATGTGTGTGTGTATGTTTTTTTTGTCTGAAGAGTGTAAAAGTGATAAAACTATTCCAACTAAACTACACAACACTACACACAAAAGCAAGTTTCAGAAGGTACTTAGGGTATACTAAAGCTAAATTGAAACCTAAAAACAGAAATTACAACTTTATTATAAGGTTTTGGACTGAGGATGAATTTTTTTTTTAAATAACTAATGTAAATTCTAATGTTTAACCACCGTTTATTAATTTTTTTAGTTATAAGCTACCTTGTTCAATTACTGAAGTCATTGCAGTCATGATTTATTTCAGAGCTGCTTCAGAATAACAAGAGGGCAACAGTAAGTTATACTAGTATCTTTAATTACAGTGCATTTCTGTCAAAATTTAAAAAAAAAAACCTTGGGTAAAGAGTCACACTATAAAACAATTTGCTAAGAGATTCACATAATTTTAACCCAAAGTAATCAGTGTCTACCAAATTAGAGGTTAATTGGGAAAGAGAGAGAAAAAAGATAAATAATAAAGTACCTTTTAAACCATCAGCCCTAACATTGACCAGGAAGGTTGTTAATCTGAAACGGGAGTCTCTGTTTACCGTAAAGCCACCACAGCTTTTTTTGGTGGGAAAAATAACTTCTACATGCACAACAGAAAGCTCAAACAGTTGTCATTGATATTAACATGCCAACACTCTCAAGATATGCTTTCAGGTTATGTCTTAAGTTATTGCATGTGGATAGATGAGGCTGTTGTTTATTCCTAGTGGTGGTTAGATTTTGAGTCCAAAATAGAAAGTAACACTTTAAACAGAGTGTCAAAACATGAAATTTAATGCTAGATGCATAAAACCAATGTTTCAGTTTCTCTTTCTGGTTGAATCTTTAAAAAAAAAGGCCACATTTCACCACCCAAAAATAAAATAAACGCATTATTTTGCATATAGAAAATGAAGCCTATTTTTGTAAGACAATTCCATTTATATTGTCACATTGTTTTCATGAAACAACCTCCAGTACCCTTAAAAAAATTCTCATTACTGTTATGTGCCTGAATGTTTTACTTTACCCTACTACAAACCTTGATTAACCTGAGCCACACCAACATTTCTCCCACAAACTCACAACGAAACATCTGTTGTGTTTTGGGAATCTCATAAATCTTTGTGTAGCTGTCTTCACAACTCTATGGCTCCTAAAGCATCCTGACAGTAAAGCTAGACGTCACAAAAGACAGTGTAATCGTTTTTGGTTTCTTTTCCTCAAAACTGAACTGTTATATGTGCAGGTAGTGTCTGTGATGTTTGATTTCCTGTACTCCGTTCAAGACAAACATAACAGCTTCGTTTACAGTACATCTAAGAGAGTCTATTATAAGCACAATAAAATAATACGTGCAAGATTCAAATGAGACCTGACAGAGTTTACAGAAGCGACGTTCTTAAAACTCTTTCCAATGACTCAAACAGTAAGAACGGGGAAAAAAAGACAGATCAGCTATGAAAGACTAAATCTATTTTGCATAATGGTGCTCAAAAAGCTGCCTCCCAACAAAAAACTATTTACATTAAAACAAGAGAGCAACACTTTGACAACGTTCTTCCTGCTGTAGGGCCCTATTCTTCCGTGTTAATGGGGTTTGAAATGAGCGCAGCTTCCAGCACCGTTTCTTTAAAAACAAAAGAGTAAAGCAAGTGTTGAGAATATCGAACTAAGGAAGATCAGTACAGTGAGGTCATTATTTCTGGTTTTTCAGTTGATTGGACAACCAGTCGAGTCCTTCATAGAGGCCGTCGCCGCTTGTGGCGCATGTGGCCTGAATGTACCAGTTCCTGTGCCGGAGCGAATGCAGCCCCAGCTTGTCTGTGATTTCTGCAGCGTTCATGGCATTCGGTAGGTCCTGTCGGATAAACACATTGTCAAATGCATAAGAACGTATAACTGGAAAGAAGTGCATGTAATCAGTTGAAAGCTGTTAGTACCTGTTTGTTGGCAAACACGAGCAGGACTGCTTCCCTGAGCTCATCCTCGGCCAACATCCTCATCACCTCCTCTCGTGCTTCATTCACACGCTCTCTGTCATTGCTGTCAACCACAAAGATCAGACCTAAAAAAAAAAGAAGAAAAAAAAGCAGATTAATAGACTGGTGTGAGTGACTGAAAGGGCTAAAAATGGAACTGACAACAGATCAATTACACAAAACATTTTGTATAATGACCGTATATAATATACGAAACCATTTCAGCCATTGGTCATTAGTAAACATACCGAGCACAATATTCTTCCACCAGTCCTGACTTCTAGCGTGAACCCAAAGCGTTTTGCGGAGGTCTTGAGGTTATCATTGCAGAAACGAAAGCGGCTGCTCGTTTTTTTCTGTCGTCTCATTTTGCGAGCATATGAACTTTGTGTGAGCTTATTTCGTCCACTGGATCAAAATAGCTGAAAAAGCCCATACATATACATGTACACAACTTTCTGCAGCATCTTTCTTCACTAACACCACAAGCAGCAGAAATCTGACCTAATATTAATGCGCATCGACATTTAACCCTCCCCCTGGTGTACCCGCCCATAGACCTTTCCCTCAAAGAAATCAGGACAGAAGTGGTTGAAAGTGGACAAGAGAGACAGATTAAAACACCAGGTGTGAACGGGAATGTGTCTCCTCGTCTCCCTGTGTATATGCATTTTAAACACATTATGTTATTTCTCCACCCATGCAATAAATGCAGGTCCCTGAATGAGCGTGGTTTTATAGTGTGCTTAATTTAACTGCTCAGGTAATGTTAATTGTATGACCCATTTCAGGGGTGGCCAAAATTACGATTTAAAATCAGTCAGAGCTAATGTATCTTCATTTAAAAAAAAAAAAAATATTATGAGTAGACTACTTTCTACTCAAAGCAGAGCAGTCCTGTATCACTCTATAGGTTTTTTTTTTGTTGTTGTTGCAATAATTACCATATTACATGGTTTATTACATGGCTACTTGCCACATAAGTAAATATTTTGGTAAAAAATATTAATTTGAGTTGAATTATTTTATTAGCTCTTTAAACAAAAAGCTTCCGTGAAGAATAACAGTTCATAACAAGCAGCTTTGACCCAAGACAAATGAACAAATAGTCATTGATATAGACACATTTGCTGTCTTGTCTCTGTGCTACAGTAAACCAATCAGATATTTCACAAAATATATACATTGAATCTGCAATACTCTAAGCTGCAATCTATAATGTCCTGCGTGATACCCATTCCTGCCTGTTCTCTTTACCTGATTTGTCATTTTCTATCATCTCTTCATTATCCTAGTAAATTGACCATTACAATGTTAACTTTAAGTATGAAACTACTTGCATACACTGTATACTATGAAACAGTGGTTAAAAACTCCCAAAATATATATATATATATATATTTTTTTTTACCCAAATCATGTTGTTTTAAGCTTGTATGATTTTCTTTTTTCAGTTACATTTTAGGCACAATGTTGTCTCAATATTGATCAACTACACCAACAAAGAGTTCCAAACAAAGATGCAGCAGAACTTTTGTGCATCTCCAAGCAACACAGCTGTGTTTCGTTACTGAATGAATCCACGTTTTTAACGAATCAAGTGAGCCAATGATTCAGTAACTCGTTCATAGGCCCTGTTTACACCTGGTATTAAGATGTGTTTTGGTGTAAACGGCCATAAAGACAGTCACTGTGCTTTGTTTTTGAGCGAATCAGCCGTTTGAACGAATCGCCTGAGTGAATGACTCACTCATTAAGACAGTGACTTGCTGCCACCTATTGGTGGTTTTAGTATCATTTCATATTTCGATACCCAATAAAAAAAAAAGACCCATTAATATCCATTTATTATTATTTAAGCCATGTTGAATCAAAATATTTATTTCTAAAGCACCATGTCCGTTTCTATGTCTTATTCAATGCTTTTCTAATTTAACATGATAATTACTACCTTCTGGAAGTAATTTTTCATCCAAAATTGATGTGATTATTTAGATTGCATCACGTAACTAATTATTAGATTAAAAACTGTAATCACTTGAAAGCCCATTTATCTTGTAACACTCGCTTTATTCTCACATAAAAAAATCATTTCAACTCAAATTACTATCATGTTCATTTCATTATTTGGCAAGTAGCTGCAAATAAATCAGTCATTATCACAAAATACCAGACACAATGGACTACTTCCACGTTCTACGCAATACAGCTCAGGTGTTTCCAGTAACAGTGTTCAGCGCATCTACATACAGACAGTAACACAGGAGAAAGCAGATTAATTTATTACTACATTTTAGGGCTGTCAGGTACAACAATGAATCTTGTTTTCTGAATTAACATAAATTATATTGAACCTGATGAAATATAAATATATTGTCTTTTCCAAATGTGCATTCTGAATAATAAATGCATATACTTCCCTCCTAACCTGCAGCAGTAGTGCTCATCTTCTCATTAAAAGTGTTTTTCAATTACGGATTATAGTTGAGTTTCCGTTTATAAATCAATTTGACTGATAAACAGGATTTGCTTGTGTGTTGCGTGTTGTGCTCTTATTCCAGTGTTTTAGAATAGTTTGAATGAACGTGGTAACTGCTTTAAAAATTTAATAAAGTTAAACATATTTTAATTACTCCTAAACAGTAACACATTGACAGCACTACTACTATGAATATTAATTAAGAATTTGCATGAACATGTAAATTACATACAGTGAAATGATTGCCATTGAAAGAAACTGAGTGATTAAAATGTTTAATACGAATAAATAAAGGGTCGTTCTGATATTATTCATCAGAATATCTCTTTTCATCTCCCTAAAAATGTCCAGATTTTTAAGTCTTCTTGCTGACACTCATTTGAAGTGGTATTTAGTCAACTAGGTGGCTACAGCACATTGAAAATATACATAAATCACATAAAACGGACGTGTGTCATGAAGCTCAGTGCAAGTAGTCAATACTGACAAAAACCCTCCAAACATGCAGATTCATTCTGTCTAGGTTTATTCTGAGATAACAATCAGCTTACTGTAAACCAGGGTGCCATGTTAGAAATTCTTGAACTGGACTTCCCAAATCTAACACAACATACTGTATTTCTGAGGAAAAAGTCATACCTTGTGTGTTCTGGAAATAATGGCGCCACAATGGTCGAATCTTATCTTGACCACCGACATCCCAAACTGTGAAACTTATATTCTTGTACTCCACAGTTTCAACATTAAAACCTTGAACACGAAACAGAAACCAAATATAAGCATTAACTCGCTTTTCGGGCTCTAATATTAGCAAAACAGATCAGAGTCACCTACCGATTGTTGGGATGGTGGTAACAATTTCCCCCAGCTTCAGCTTGTACAGAATCGTCGTCTTTCCAGCAGCATCGAGACCCACCATAAGAATTCTCATCTCTTTCTTGCCGAAGACTTTAAAGAGGCTTGCAAATATGTTGCCCATGTTTGACAGACGCCTTTTTCACTCCACTGAAACAGAACAGGACAAAAGCTCACTAAAAGGTATTATCCACCAATAACAAACTTATATACCAGCTGAACACATATGCTTGACAGTTATGAACAAAGTGGCTAAATTTATATTTGTCACTCAAATCCACATAATGACAAAGCATACCTGATTCTCCAAGTGACTCTTTAAATAAACCAGTAAAAACACACACACACACACACACACACACACACACACACACACACACACACAC